CCACTCAAGTGCCATCTGGTGAATCATCCTCCTTTAGGGCACGAAGTGAGCCTACTTTGATGTCTCTTTTTTAATCTGCGATTTTTATATGGAAATTTCAAGCCTTAAAAGGCAGTTTTCCAGAATGGCATCTAAGAGATCTTCCAGCCTGAGGATACTAAAACTATTTTCTGGGGAGAAAGATGCAACTGAAGATAAATCTCCAAGTGTCTTTCTCTGGCTACAGGTTTTATGATCAACCCAGGCTGTTGTGCAGAGACCTAAAAATCAATGCCTCTCATTCCTAATGAGATCCTTAATGCGCAGTATGATGACAGGCAGCACGAAACCGAATACCGACGACGATACCCAGCACAAATATTTTTACTATGCATTTCCATTTAAACACGTGTCAAGCCAATTACATATTTATGGGGTTTAAAGACTATTGCACTGGAGCCTCGGATAACACACACTCTTCAAGTCTCGGTTTAGTAGAAGAGGAATTTTAGTCTAATAGTCAAGCCTCTTGCAAGCATGCAATAAATCATCTTTGCAACCATAAGCATGTACAGTTGACTGCTTACCGCGGCTCCGCAGACTCACCCCCACCTGGTAGAATTTTAATTCCCTCAGTAAAATTGATTCCACCAGTTCTGCACATTACTCTCCCTGTCTTCCATTTAGCCCGTTAGTTTGCTGACAGTAGAGTACACAGCACTTAGCAGCGGGTTTGTGGAACCATCAGTCAGGAAATTGTATGATAAATAGGAGGCAGCCAGGTTTAGTGGCACTTCCTTCTGCTCCAGCAGTTTTCCCCTGACTTTGGAAAAGTCATCATGTGGTGTTTTGTCAAGGGCCAGAACAGGAGATGGCCGCGGTGCGGTGACTTATTGCACATACACTTGAGTTATGATGTGCACAGCTGCGCTGCTCATGTGTAAATAATAACCCGTGAGGGGGATAATTATGGTGGCTGCTGGCGACACGGGCCTGTGCTTGTCGCGTGGGTTTTCTTGGACAGCTTCTTGGGCCCGTGATGGAATACGCTGCCGATCGTCCGCGCAGAGGCGACGAGCCAAGAGGCAAGGAGAGCACCCAGCGTTGGAGGATTCGGGAACTTTTTTATTTTTGAGAAATGTGTTAGGGTCGATGTCACGTGATGCCACGGGTGTTACAGCACAGGATCGAACTCTTTTTTTTCCCTTCGTCGGTACCGTGCAGCTGTGCTCAAGCATGTCTCGAGCTGGAAGAGGGATGTTCCATCGCAGTTTCCCAGAAAGTAGCTTCCGAGGTGTGGTCTCCACAGATAAGCGACCCACAAAGTGTAATTGTTTGCACAGATGTTCGTTAGTCCAGGAGAAGTTATTTTAGACTAAATCAAAAGGGAAACAAATAGAAACTGTAAAATACTTAAACTGAGGCCAGATGTCTTTGCTCAAGTCCGATGAGATCCATTAATTTTTGTTCTTTATTTACCCTAATTCCAGAATGCACAGTTCGCAGATTTCCTTAGGACATAAACAATCCCATACTTCCAGTCAGAATTAAATTTTTAAGCTCACCAAACACCAAACTCAACAGTGAGAAACGACTGTAAAATGCCCCAATAATTGTGTCTTCTGTTTTCCTCTCAAGAGAGTTTTGCGGTGCTGGGCCGTTTGCTCTTTGGTTCTGAAAGAAGGAGGGAGGGAGAGAATAAGAGTGAATTAAAATCTTGTTAGACACACTAACTTCTTGAAAGTGAAAAGGTGGCAGTGCCTTTCAGATGTCCACAATAGCCCTTCCAGGTTTTCCTGGGGAGGAGATTTTTATGCTGCTTGGGTACACCCTTGATTTTATAGGATTAACAGGTTGGTCTTCGCCTGTGTGCACATAATCACTGCACTTCATTATCAATACTCAAACGATAAGGAGTGTTACTTCCTGGATGTCTGAGGCAGATACCGAATGTGGAATAAATCCACACATTTCGAGCCCCGCGTATGTGAAAAATGTGGATTTGCGCCCTGTCGTAATTCATCGCTGAACCCACATAGAGAAAATCAGATACGGTCGACACCCACTTATCTGCTGGAGAGAATTGAATCACGCAGTCCACGGCCAAGAGCCAACAAGGAGAGAAGTGAAAAGATCCTCCAGCTCTGACGTGTTTGTCACAACGTCCCTCACCACGGCCATGGGAAATGTGGAGGAGAAAGTCTTAGGAGGAGGGTCAGACTCTGTGAATGCTTGACTTAAACACAGTGCTAGGGGGTTTGTTTCTCTGATTGCTAAGAGCTGATGAAGGTGTGCCGAGTTCGAAATCTGCTGGAGGCCAGCACGTTTGCAGGAGCAGCGACCCCTAAGAGGAGAAGAGAAAGAAGAGCCGCCCCCATGTCTGGTGGCCAACCGCCTTATCTGACTTGAATCTGACTCATTTAGGCCTGTTTCAGAATTTAAAACCAGGAAATATTTCACTGAATGTGCGTCAGACCTTCAAGCTAGTGAGAAAGATTGCTGCAGTCGATTGTATGTTGTTTGCAGAAGGATGGATTAATTTTCATGGAAAATGGTTATGTGAGGTCGGACATTTTGGCTCTGCAGGATGACTGACTTACGTGGCACACTGAATGTGACAACAGTGTGGGGTAAACTTTCCCACTTAGCATTCCAGCTACCAAGATTTGCATTACAAAAGAGCAACTCCCACATCCTTTAGATTTAAGTCCTAAGTGGTGCACTTAAAATATAATTGATTTTTCAGGGTGCCTGGGTGGCTCAGCGGATTGAGTGTCCGACTCTTAATTTCGGCTCAGGTCATGAGGTGGTGGGTTCAAGTCCTGAGTTGGGCTCCATGCCAAGCATGGAGCCTGCTTATCATTTTCTTTCTCTCCCTCTGCTCCTCCCCCCCGCCCCCAGCTCGCTCGTGCTCTCTTTCTCAATTTAAAAAATGTATATATTATTGATTTTTCATGTGGAATTTATACAGTGGCTTACACTTTGTGGTATCGCAGTGGCAGTGCCCTGACCATACCAGGATGATGCTTCCTCTCCCTATTTGCCACTCCTCCCTCCTTCATCTATCTTACAACGAGCACAGGATGCAGTCAGTAATTGACCTTTTCGTTACAATATTCCTCTTCCAATCCCACAAGTTTTCTAAGAAAGGCTCCAAATCTGGTGGAGCCATAGCTTTGCGCACCTCCTTGGTTCGGTCAACACTGCGTCAATGGTTTTTCACTCTTACTGTATTTTTTCCTCATAACCATACTTGTAGATTCTCAAAGGAAGGCAGCCAGGGCAAAGTTCAACACAAGGGAAGTAAAATTTCATAATTTTTTTTGAAACTTTATTATAGGGTGCCTGGGTGGCTCAGTCCGTTAAGCATCTTGGCTCAGGTCATGATCTCACGGGTTTGTAGGTTCGGGCTCTGTGCTAACACCTCAGAGCCTGGAGCCTGCTTTGGATTTTGTGTCTCCCTTTCTCTCCACCCCTCCCCTGCTCACACTGTGTCTCTCTCAAAAAAAAATAAACATAAAACTTAAAAGAGTTTATTATTGTTTACATTCTAAGAGATGGCTTGTTGAAGAAAATCTAGAAAAAAGAGAAATGCATAGGGAGGAAAATGAAAAAACACCTAAAGTCACCCCATGCACACCTAATACTCGGATATGGGGGCTTATGGAAATCCACGGTGTGGGTGCCGGTCTGTGTTTGGCACAGCCCCCCATTCCCCACTTAGAGGTTCTGTGTCACTTCTTCCAGCCACCACTCAGAACCTGTTCGCAGCGCCTCCCTTGGGATCCTCTGCGCCACCTGCTACCTCAGGTTTAGGCAAAACCTTCAGACATTTAGAAAATGCTTGAAGCCCTCCTGAGGCACCTCTGGTGTGCACATCAATTCCCGGGGAAGATTTGGGGCAGTAGCAGCAGGATGGTTCTGTGCAGGCTGCCAGGACAGACACGTGTGGGAGATAATATTTGAAGAGAGGCTTTGGCGTATTTGCCGTAACGCAAGGCTCATCACGGTGGAGACGCATCTTCGCTCCGTCACTTTGCTTCTTGAAACTCAGGGAAAACTCGAGTATCAGCCGTGCTTCTAAGAATAAAATGCGGCAAAATTCTCTTCAGCTTTTGCAGTGAATCACTATTTAGGAAAAAAAAAAAAGCCCTTGATGAGATTTGTAGGAGACCATGTGCTTACGTTACTGTAGTGAAGTAGAGGAGCGGCCAGAAGTAAGTGCACACACAGGAACCCAGGAAACTCTAAACACCAGCCTAAGCAGGAGGGAGGCTGGTCAGGGTCCAAGGTGAATGTCAGGGCTGTGGGGGAAGCATTCCTCTGTTTGCTCCCAGCCTCTCTTTGTCAGTCCGGGAGGGGTCAGCTCACCTCTTCCGGCCAGGCCCTGTAGCATTTCTCTGGCTAGCCTATAGATTGGCTGCCCTTGCCCTTGTGTGGGACTGTGGAGGTCTGGCCCAGGACGGGAAGGAGGAGATTGTGCATTTAAACTTTAAAATAGTGTGTGTATCATACACTTATATGTAAGTGTAGACATAACGTGTAAGTAGACCCATGCATTCAAGCAGGGACTTTAGAAAATACTGCTTCCTTTAAAAAGTATCAGGGATATGGGAGAAGGGAAGCTAGTATGTGTATTACATCGTTGTCTAAATTTCACTTGACGGTACAATTTAAAAGAAAGTAAGAGTCTTGTCGTCCGTTCCTTTTGGTTTTGTGGCTCCCTCCAGCCCTTGTGCTCCTCCGGGCTTTCTCCCAGGGTGGGACACACAGTAGTCCCTGTTCTTACTTTCCTGTCTGGGTTTACTGCGTTCCTAGCCTCCACCTTCTCAGGTGCCGTGTGCTCGGTCATACTTCCGTAGTACCCGTGGCCTCATAATGCACTTTAAAGAGTTCTTCCACAAATTCTTCAAGTGGACTCCACCCAAGTTGTCAAGACAGTATAACGGTGTTGTGTCGTGGGCTGGGATTCTGTTTCAGGGTGTTCCTCTCACCCATGTTGGATTTTCGTTCTTTTTCAGACCCTTCTCATCTCTTTCCTGCATTCCACCCTCCTGTGCCGATTGATGCGAGACATCATGAGGGGCGTTACCATTATGACCCGTCTCCGATTCCTCCACTGCATGTGTAAGTAATAAAACTTTACCCTTTAATGAAGCAGCACGGGATACTAGCTTTTTCTGTCTCACGACTTTTTGTCAACAGCGCGGCTGCTGGGCTTTGAAGGTGTAATAGAAGTATAAGATTTACTTTTGAAATACGGCAAGCCTATCTGTTCCTGGACGCACTGAAGCAAATCCCCGTTGCTTCCTGAAGAATGCCTATCACACTAGGTGGCTGGCAAGTATTCACTATATATTTTGCTGACGTGTGTTCTGTGGGCTGTAAATACTAAATTAAAAAAGTAGGGGCCTAATGGGAAGTTACTACTCAGAATATGGATCTGGGAGAGATTGGGTTTGAAGTTTTTCCTGCTAAAACTCAGATTACCCGGAAGTCCTGTCCCAGGGCTCGCCAATGCATTGTAATGAAAATGCTGTGGTAAATTTTCATAACCCCCCACGGTGTGTCCACCAACAGTGACTTGACGGATGGGAATGTCTCCCCCACAAAATGGCGCTTGCGATCGCTCACGCGATTTACACAAAGATAAGAGGAAAGCATGACTTTGATAACATACATTAGAAAAGAAAGCAGAACATTTTGTGGAAATAAACATTACCTTACTCAGGTTGGGGGTAAAAAGAGCATTCGGCTTGCAAACTGCAATGCCATTTTTTTGGTAGTCATGTCCAGAAACATTGTCAGATACTGCGATTACTGGAGCTGCGGTCTGGGAGGGGCTCTCCCTTACTAATGGCCTTGATGTATATACATCTAGTTAGATCTGGTAATCACCCTTCATTCTGAGACAGTAAAGTTAGAAAAGCACAAATAATACTTTGAAGAATAATGCTGGTTATTTAGATGGTAGATTGCATCTCCGTGGCTATTAGTTAAGCTGTGTAATTACGTATATGCCAAAGAAAAATGAAGTTGTTTTAAAACAAGTCCTCCTCTGTGAACAGAATTAATTGATATTAACAGCCGTAACTACATGCCCAAGTACACATATAATATTTTACCAACAGTTTTTTGGATCCATCCCCCATTATTGAATTGTAATTTCAGAGCAGATTTGCCTGGAGGTAAGTAATAAATCTGTGGTGCAGACTTCCATAAGCATTAACGGAGAAGTGGGTATTTATAGAGAGAGAATACGGAGACTCGTGACTTATTCTTTGACTTTTCACTGGAACACGAGTGAGTATTTACAGGGTTCTGAAGCCTGCTAAAAATATACTGAAATAAAACCATGAGGCCAATTAAAAGCTCCTATAGAAAGGGAAGGAAATTCCAAATTCAGGCTGAAACCCGCCGTGCCATTCACCCCGTTGTAGGGAGGTTTTGTGGGGCAGATGGGACCACAAAGGTCTCCGACGAGGCCCTGCCCTGTGGTGCGGAGCCAGCGAGGGCCAGATCAGCCTTGGTGATGCAGGTGGCAGATTCCTCCCAGACTCCAGTCTCTGTAATGTGGTGACTTAAATCAGATTTTTGTGGGATTTCAGAATTGTTCACTCTTTCAAAAACCCTGTTACGGAGCAATCCCCCCCCCCCCAACCCCCACCAAAATGAGTTTATATGACAGAATGAACTAATTCCTATGGGTTCATTATAGTTCGCCTTGTTATTAAATTCAAATATGAGTTTACCAATAAAAATCCCAAGCCTTGGTTCTTTGGCAGAATGCAGTAGCAAGCCCTCATGTCGCCCACACCTTGTGTTCTAGACCCTGATTGCTGTACCTTCAGTTTTAGCTCACCTGTGATAAAAACACCACAAGATGAGGCAGGTCAAGTTTGGAAAGTCCTGGGGTTGGGGGTTGCATCTCAGGTATGACTGCTGAGCTGGGATTTTTATAGATTTCAGGACTTCCTGGTGTTCCAGCCAGCCTTAGGATGCTTTCACAGCAATGGACTAAATTGTTTGCTAGCTGCCTAAACAGATAGTTATCAAAATTCATAATATAGGGCCAGTAGATAATCCTGAGGCCCACAGAGGAGCCCCAGAGAGCTCTGAGAGGAGTGCCATTGCTGTGTGCAGAGCATAGTGAGAAGGTGGGTCTGTGCCTTCCTGGGACTGCTAGTCCTTAGCAGGGATCTGGGTGGGGACAATGAGCTTACGCAGTTGACTCCAGAAGGCTAGGGGACATCTCAGATCCCGTGTGCCTTTGTAACAGAATCTTCCTTATGCATTATGCATTGCCCTCAGTGGCCTTCCCTCGCTGGTGGGGTGGCAGACTCCTTCTTAAAACTCCTCATCCTCAAGTTCTAATTCAGGTATCACCCCTACTGGCTATCCCCCGAGGCTGTTCCTCATTTTGCCCGGTACCTTGCAAAAAAGGTGCTCAGTAACACTCAGGTGGCCCATCCGGGAGTCGTGATGAGCTCCAATCCCCCACTCTTTCTTTATTCACACTCACCTGTGCTGGGAACTCTGGTAACCTACTCTCAAGTGGATTGGTTTCATCCCCTGGAAATGAGGTTTTCTGCCTTACCCCACTCTCCCAGATTGCAGGAAGAGTTCAATGAAGTCATGTTCATGTGAACGCTTTTAAGAGCATAGAGCTCTAAACAAATGTTGGGGGTTAGCATTCCAGGAAGTGGGGGCCTCAGAAACACTCGCCTCGTTCAGTCATGAACCCCTTCTTGCCTTTGCACCTTCTGAGGTGCTATAAGTAGACGCTTGTGATCATTTTAGGAGCGGAGAGTAATCTAGGCAAGTATGGCTCAGTTGCTAGAATCTTAAAACACCTCTGGGGGTGCCTGGGTGGCTCAGTCAGTTGGGGATCCAACTTCAGCTCGGGTCACCATCTCATGGTTCGTGAGTTCGAGCCCCACATCAGGCTCTCTGCTGCCAGCATGGAGCTGCTTCGGTCCTCTGTCTCCCTCTCTCTGCCCCTCTCCCACTTGTGCACGTGCTCTATCTCTCTCAAAAAGAAATAAACATTAAAAAAATTTAAAAAGAAAAAAAAAAGCACATCTATGCTTAGGGGTAAAGCAGTATCCTGGAAAAGTAAAATGCTTTCATCTAGAACGTGAGTTCCAACATGGCTTTCTATATAATTTTCTCATAGAAAATGAGGCCAAGTGAGCTTACAAAGTTTTTAGAATAAACATGTTTAATTATAAGAAGACAGAATTTGAGGATATTCTCATTATTTTGTACACATAATTGTCCTTCTGGTGCCAGCTTTAAAAATTAAATTATAAGTCTCTTGAAAACAGGATTTGTGTTGATGATGGAAATACTGACAGATCTCTGTTTAGAAGGATGGCAGGCGCTGTGATAATTATGCTATCATATCCTATCATTAAAGATTCTATTGAAAGAGGTTTATAAATTGCTTCTCTTTTTAGATAAACCACCCTATATTAAGGCATCAACGATATGGTGCAGAATTAAATTAAAATCTCATAAAATGAAATATGTTCTGTATTAGCTGTTTGACACTTAATTTGCCTCTGAATGAGTAGAGGAAATCACAAATTAACCTGCCTTTGTTTTTCCAACCATGGCTTATTAGGTGTTAGAACAACTACAATTACAGCCTAATAATAACCACCAAGCCTTATAAATATGTACTGAAATGCGTCCCTTAGAACCCAGCTTGTTAAATGCAATGCCTTTAGCTTACCCTACTTAACTCTCAGGGCATTGTCCACAGTGTACGGTTAGGCAGTGTAGACCAGAGTCTAGAAACTCACATTGTTTTGAGTGTCCTGGAAATAATCGTAGAATTTGCTAGTATTTCCTTTCTTAACTCAGAATCATGATTTTAAATTTTTTTTTTTTTTTCAACGTTTATTTATTTTTGGGACAGAGAGAGACAGAGCATGAACGGGGGAGGGGCAGAGAGAGAGGGAGACACAGAATCGGAAACAGGCTCCAGGCTCCGAGCCATCAGCCCAGAGCCCGACGCGGGGCTCGAACTCACGGACCGCGAGATCGTGACCTGGCTGAAGTCGGACGCTTAACCGACTGCGCCACCCAGGCGCCCCAGAATCATGATTTTAAATTCATGGACTTACAAGTGGGACATGGAATGTAGACATCATCTTTCTTTGAGTTGTCGCAGAAAGGTTGTCATATAAAATATATGATTCCTGCTTTGTGTTTACTTAATTGAAGTAGTTTGGAAATTAAGAAACATTGGAGGTGGGGGATTTCCCCTTTTCTTCTGAAAGTTACTCTCCACTGACTTCACCAGGACTTGTGCCCAGTAGATAAATCTAGAAAAGTGTAATGTTCTGGAAAAATACCAGTGAATGCATCTTATTATATTACTGAGATTTTTTGGAGCATTAATGACAGAACCTGAATGTATATCCAGAGTCAAGCAGATTTTTCCTTCCTGGTCTTCTGTGTATTCCATGCCTTGCGTAGTTATCAGGGTGCAGCCTTGCATAACTCCAGGAGGCCTTATTGTAATCTGTGGGGGTGGGTGATGCTCTCTTGGCCAAACATTATTGTATTTTCAGATTTCACTTGGAAATTTAGACAATCGCAATATTAATGCTCCTCTCCCCCAGAATACAGTTGGATGTTTAAGTGACTTACCTTGCTTCAATGAAGAAAGTACTCTTTCTCTTGCATTTTGAGTGCATTTTTTTTTGTTTTGTTTTTTTTGTTGTTTTTTTTTTTTTTTTTTTTAGAGCTAGAATTCATTTAAGCACGCACCCTTTTAAAAACTAGAGGCGCCTGAATGGTTCAGTGGGTTGAGCATCCGAGTCTTGATTTTGGTTCAGGTCATGATCCGAGGGTCGGGCTCCAGGCTGAGCATGGAGCCTACTTAAGATTTTCTCTCCCTCTCCCTCTCCCTCCCTTCATCCGCCCCTCCCCCCTACTTGCAGGTGCAGGTGCTCTCTCTCTTTCTCTAAAAAAATAAAGATAAAAATATACTAAACATAGTGTATTAATAGAAACGCAAATTACAAAGTTTTAAATTCCACGTTTATTCTGGATTTTTACTTGGGAGAAATGTCTGTCTTTTACATAAAATTTTTTTTGACCCAGAGTTGTCTCAT